AATCAATCAATCAATCAATCAATGCCCCTAGGCAAACTCTAGGCAAACTTCTCCCATCTTGGCAGTTACTAGACATGTGATTGTAACTTCCATAATTACCCAGCCAGAATTGAATACTGTAATGCTGAGAGTTTTGGTTGAAGACCACTTAGGGTGAGGGGCGGCATTTTCTGTCAGTGGGCCATAATGGACTTAGGCTAGCCAGCATGTTAGCAGATAACCTGCAAGATGGACCACCTTCCTTTGCTCCATTAAAATCTCTTCTTTTTATGTTTCTAAGATCTGCCTTCAGGTGTAGCTAATGTACTTTCTTTGCAACATAGGCTCGTGTGAGAGAGTTGGAGAACCAGTGTCGCAGCCACACAGAACAATTTAACTTCCTCTCTCAGGAGCTCAATCGATTTCGCCTCCAAACCGGGAAAATAGGTCTTCCATCCTCGTCCTCCTTCTGTTCCTCTCTGGTGACTTCAGAGGTTGCCTTTGCTACTTGCCAGAGTTCTCAACGGCTCCCAGATGGCCTCAGGCAGAAAGGTGACAATATAGAAGAGCCCCTTGCATGTTTCTTTGATTTTTTTGTTGACAACAAAATAATTAAGGGGAAGCACCAAGTCATCTAAAATCTTTCAACATACCTCTCATCCTGCATGTTTTGTAGGGTGCCAGATGTAATGCTTGCTTTCCTCACCTTGGTGTCCTCCAAATATGTTGGATCATGATTCTCAGAATTTCTTATCAATATGGCACTGCTGGCTTGGAATCCTGGGGGTTATAGTCAAAACCATCTAGTGGGTGCCAAACTGGGGAAGGATGTTTTAATTATTTGTGTTGATCTTAGTCATAACCTGAAGAAGAGGCTGTAGCTCATACTGGACCATGTTGTATACAAAAAGACCTCCATTCAATCCACAACTTCTCCAAGTAGATTCAAGAAAAGATCTTCCCTAAAAACTGAAGAACTGCTGATCAGTTTACATGGTACAGAACTAGAAAGACCAGTGATCCAATTACAGCCACCAGCTTTGCCTCACCAAACCATCAGCATTTTTGCAGTGCTTGGCAGTGGTCCATGACTGTCCTCACCTTCTTGCACGTGAATCAGCCAGTGTTCCCTTCCAAGCAGCCAGAGGGAGAATAATAAAAACTGACCAACCTGATACTCCAACCCCCTCTCTATTCTTTCTTCATCGTGTTTGCTTTTTGTGGCAAGAAACAAAGTAGGCAAAAAACCCTCGACAAGCTACTGTTGAGAGTGCAGCAAAAGTATCCCTCAGAGCGGCCAGAAAGCAATGGGAGGACAGGGGTGAGCCATCATGCAACTTGGAAAAATCCAGGAGCCCAGGAGTTCTGGCTAGTAAGGAGTCACTGCCCAGTAGCTGTGGATGAAACACAGCAAAGTTGTCTTTGCTGCCTTTGCACCAGAGAAGCAGCTGAGGCAATTAATTTCTGAATGAAAAGCTCTGGAAGGCCCCTAGCATAGTGGGGATGCCCAAGGCTGGCACTGACGCTGCTTTGGCAGAAATTTTTGGGTAAAGAAATACTCTCTATATCAGGTAGTTTTCTTCTGACTGCAGAAACACAAGAGGTTTCTATGACCCTGTTTCCCTGTGAACCAAGCTTGGTTAAGGCTGTTTTTCCCAATCTGATGGAGACTGATTGGGAAAGGGAACAATCCAGGCCATAGGCAGAGTGCCTAATACTGCTTCATCTTGGCACTGGATGTGATTGGCTCCCTCTTCAGTGATGGAACTCCTCCACCCAATGGAAGCTGATTAGAAAGAAGAAACCCAGAACTGTGACTCATTCAGACATGGAACAAGAAACCTTTGCTAAAGGCATTTCATATGGACTCAAGAGGAGCTTTAAATAGCTTAACTTGTTTCTTGATCCATTCTGAAAGTTTTCTCTGTGCTTACCCCAAGCTGGTAATTTCTCACCTAAGCATTATTTTATTGACTTCTGCTTTTCTTAACTAACATTTTAGCAGCCACGAAGCCCTTTGATTGTTTATAAAGGGTGATCTGGATAAATTGGAGAGTCTACAATTTTTCAAAACATTCTGCCTATGTGTCTGTACAGTAGGCTTAAATCTATGCAGTAAATTTAAGATTTTCTCAGAGAGAAACTTCTGAAAGAGGAATAAACATTCCTTCTTTCTCCTGGAGTGTGTGTATGTGTGTTGGGGGTGGGATGGAGAGAGAAAGGTGGTTCAAATTTACTGTTTCAAAAAGATAAGGTTGGTGTTCTGTACCAGGTTTGTGGCTCTTTTCTGTAATTAAACCTGAAAGTTCTGTGGCCTCTATGGTTTTGCTTGGCCTTCCTGCTTGACATGATGTTTGATTCCAGATCCAGAAATTGTCCCTGTATCTCCTCGGAGCAGTAGAAAAGTTCAAGATGAAGAGGTGGAAAGATTCTCCCCAATGGCCCTTCGGCTCACGGATCCTGTGGTGTCTCCTGTGGCCCGTAGTCCTGATACAAGCAGTCCTCCAGTTGCCTCAAAAAAAGCAATCAAGAAGTTGGAAGCCCAGTCCAGCTCCTCAAGATCCGAGTCCATGCACAACAGTCCCAAATCCTGCCCCACTCCAGAGGTCAGTAATGGATGTGAGAGAAGATAGCCAGCGTTTGATTTCAGAACATCAGCCAGTTGAGACCATCTCCCAACGCTTTCACAATATAAAATGCATCTGAGATTGATCTGGGCTGTTTTGATCATTTGCATACCCATATTCTATAGCCCAGTATATACAGTAAGTCCAGATAAGTGAATAAGAGTAAACCTGACCAGAAATAATTAACAACAACAAACTGGAACCATCTGTTTCCTTCTGAGCAGGCTAGAGAGAAAAATCTCCCTTCTCTCCTGCAAGGGATGAATTGGCATCCAAAATGCCAGATATTTGGAGGTATTTTTCCTCTTATTTGGTAGTTTGTCTTTTTGTACTTTTACTCAAAGAGATAGTGTATAGACCAGTGTTTTTCAGTCTTGGCAACTTTAAGATGTGTGGACTTCAACTCCCAGAATTCCCCAGCCAGCATGGTTGGGTCTAGACAGATAAAGTCCTCCTCTTTTGCAGGACATGCAAAGTCCCAGGATGCTTGATTGTTCTCTTCCCCACTTCTCTCCCCATGGCTCATCCTTTTTAGAGAGAGCACCTGCCTTGAAATGGAAATTCCCCATCCATGGAAACAGCACAATTGCAAGCCCTAGTCACAATGGGTTTGATCACTAGGGGCTCACCTTGCACCAAAACCGGGAGTGTTCCTTCAGCTAGTAACCTTATTAGCCAAGTGCTTGTTTCTAGCAAGGGAAAATAATTAAGGGTGCAGTGACTAAACAAATAAATATTAAGGGCCCAACTGGAGTATTCTGGGAGTTGCATTAAATTGGAAAAAATATGGAAGGGGATGGATTAATTAATTTATTGTAATGTATCTATTTACTGTTTATTCCATCTATACAGGCTACTTTTCCAACAATAAATAGTATTTTAGGTGATAACAACAAAAATTGTGAGCCACCTAGAGTTGATTTGGAGTCCGGCAGCACCTGAATTAAATAAAATTAAAATAAATAAAAACAAAAAGGCTAATTAAAAAGCAAATTTAAAAATTTACAGCCTAATTAAAACACTGTTAAACAATTTTTTAAAAGATATCACCCAACGCAGCAGCAGATCTAACAAGCTAAAGAGGTATTTGAATAAGAATGGTTTTGCTTGCTGCTGGAAAAGTAGCAAAAATGAAGTTAGCCTGATTTAGGGAAAGGGTTGGGGGTGTCTCTGGAAATGAGGCAGAGGGTTGCATACAATTAGGCCAGTGGCCACAGGTTACCTGTCTTGGTTAGAGGATGGAAGGAACCAATTTAGATCTTCGCATGACATTGATGGGATGATTCAAAAGAGGTAGCTGCCCTATTCTGCCCTTCCCATAACTGGCAAATACTTCTTGGCTAGATTCACACAATATGCTAAGTTTGGTTACTGCATTAGCCTATATTCTGGGTTTGCATAGTATGCTGAACTGCAAAATAACCAAGTGGGCTGGGTTTTTACAACATGTTGAATCATTAAAACATATAATTCAAGGTTAAAACTAATGAAGCTTGCTATTAAGCCTTTAACTCACCTTAATTAAGCATCTTCTGCAAATATAGCCTTTTTCTACCTTTCCTTAGGTGGATACAGCCAGTGAAATGGAAGAACTGGACACTGACAGCATCTCATTGGTACCAGAGCAGGAGAACCATGATCCAGTGAAACTTCAGGTCTTCTTGGCTCGATATAGGTAGGAATGTATAAAGAAACCAATGGTGATGTTAGATGTTGGGGATGTGAATGTGCATGTACTTTTATTTGCAGATGATACTGTGTTAAGAACCCAAATGTTCCAAATGTTAGACTGTATGATGCAATTGTAGCAAATGTTAGACTGTATGATGCAATATATAGATGGGAAAACTATTGTATCTAGAGATTGATGGAGCTGTGTTTGGTGAGGAAATGCAATGAACCATTGCAAGTTATACATGAAAGGAGAAATATAAGACTAAGTAGATGAATCTGAGTGTCTTGGTAGAATGTTGATTGAAGGTGAGAAAATGGATGGAGAAAATGGAATGGGGCGGGAATGTGTTAATTAAGAACTGTGTGTGATAAAACAAGCATGGGGTCTGAATAGCTGTTGAATCGGTATGGACAGAATACAAAAATGAACATCTAGTATGAAATTATGTTGTATATTGAGGCAGCTTAGTCAAAGCAAGAGAATGAAGAGTGAATTGCAAAATAAATATATGAAGAAAGAGGAGAAGGGGAAATGGATGGAATTGAAGATATCCTCAAAAAGAGAAAGATGAGAAGTTTACAGGAAAAAAAAGCAATGTATGGAAATGGTGGAAGCAAGGATGGTTTGCAAAGATAGAAAAGTGTAGAGAGGTGTAGTGAATGGTATAGTCAACTAGATTTAGTTAGACCTCCTTTCCTTTTCTCTTATCTCCTTTCTTTAACCTCCTATTTATTCTTTCTTACTTTTATCTGCACTTCGTGTAATGTTTTACCCTGAAAGGGGATAGCCAGAGTGGGGGGTATGTATTTATGGTTTTTCTCAAGGTTTTCCTAATCGCCAGGTTTATCTCAAAGCAGGAAAGAATGTCATCTGGATCATATTGGTCAATGATTCTGAAGATGTCATCCATTCAGTTTAAAATATCATTCAGTTTACTTTCTACTGACATCTGGGGCATTTGATCTGCAGTTTCTTATAGGCAGACTTCAACTTGGATTGTAGAAGCTGAAATGGGTAGAAGATAAGTGGATAAAATCTATTCTCATGCATCAGAGATCTAAAGTGGCTGCTCTTTTTCACTCTTCACCTTGATCTTTTTGTTTTATTTTGAGCAGGAGCATTGTGGCCACTCTGTGTGAATAATAAACAGGATGATAGACCAGAGAATGCTGCAGAAGAAATGTTCATATCTGCTGCTCTCTAACTCACAAGTTATTTATAGGAATTTAGTTTAGGTATTAATCCGGCAGTCATAGGGTGGCCAGATTCTTGGAATTCTGAATTACCTGATCTTTCTGAACTGTAGCGAGCCATTCTCCTTTTGTCCCCATTTTCGTTTTTCACATTTCATGCAGAACTCCATGTTCAGTTTGTCATCAATTTCAGTGTTAGGGTTCTCTTCTCCTCTTTTGCAGAATCAACATTCTCATCAGTAATGTAGTACAAAAAAGATTCCTAAGATGTAACCTTTTTATCAATGCACAAACACATACACTTGCATCAAATCCTGCACAAAAATAATCTTCTGCAGCCGTATGTAGAATTCCACCGAGTTCGCTTTTTTAACTTGGGTGCTGCATTTTTTAGTATACAGCTGTACACAAGTAATAATGAAAGGAGAAAAAAACACAGATGAGTTGCAGTGGAACTGTAAAGCAATCTGCACAAACTCTCGTTTTGAAATTAATGCTAGATATTCCTGTAATTTAAAATGAAAATTACAAGGAAGGTTGCATAGAGTAGAAAAGCCAAAGCAACAATCCAGGAACACATGAAAAAGACTCTTCATCCTTGGAATTGAGTTATGTGTTTCCTCTTTGCCTCTGCTAGTATATTTTTGCAGAAAGTTTCCCTGCCATCCTCATTTAAGAAGTAGATCCAGGCAGTGGCTAACTAATGAGTTTCCTTCTTGACCTATCAGACTTCAAATCATTCTTCTTACATTCATTTCAGCTATAATCCTTTTGATGGCCCCAATGAGAATCCTGAGGCTGAACTCCCACTTACAGCTGGCGAGTATATTTATGTCTATGGAGAAATGGATGAAGATGGCTTTTTTGAAGGTATAAAATTCATTTAAACAATGGAGTTGTAAAGGAGGCACAGCACAGAACAACTGATCAAAATAGCCTGATCTATGGGTGGGTGGGTGGCTATAATAAATTTAAGATGATATTGATGATAATAATAATAGTACCAATAGTAATAGATGCCTTGGGTGCAATCCCAAAACACCTGGAG